GGATGAGGGTTTCGGGTTCAGGGTTTCGGGTTTAGGGTTGAGGGTTTAGGGTTTCGGGTTCAGGGTTTTGGGTTTCTGGTGCCCTACTGAAGGGAGAGCGGGGAGGGGACTTGGTATGTAAGGTTCCCAAGCGTTATCATCTAACCCCGTGTTACACAAACCACATACTGCAGCCAGGGCCTATCCAATCACTTCCTCGCCCGGAACATGACGTCGGAAGACTGGGCGACGCACGCCCAGGACGCGATTTTTTGCGGTAGTTCAGGGTTCAGGGTTGCATCGGTTGGGGTCTCGAGGTTGACGGTGCAAGGTTTAGGGGCTGTTGAGAGGTTGGGGGAGCTTCATCTTAGAGGGTTGTGCGCTTGAGGTTTGCTGGCAGTCTGCCGCGACGAACCTTCAAGCCTAAGCTCTTCAGAGCTACGACGCTGCGGCTTGTGTCGTTTGGGTCCCGGTATAGGGTTTAGGGTTTAGGGTTGACCCAGCTGCAAGCATGTCGCAACACCAGGAGCAATCGATCACGTACATTTGGGCAGCCGGCTGCTCGACCGCAGGGCACTGCACAAGGGATCCAACAACAATATTCTTGATATTAGTAGTAGTATTAGCATTGTTAGTACTGCTAGTATTCTGGTTAGGGTTTTGGGTTGTCGGTTTAGGGTTTAGGGAAAACTTAGCGGCCTTTTCATGTAAACTTTAAACCCTAGACACCGAAAATACTGAGGCAATGATCTCTGCAGCCCAATTTGTGGCTTGAATAGTGACTAGTGAGTTGGCCACGCTTTACTTTTTAAACCCTAAGACCCCATAAGCCGTAACCCTCAGCCCGAAACTCCAAACCCTCAGCCCCCTAAACCCTAAACCCCAAAACCCTAAACCCTAAACCCTAAACCCCAAAACCCCAAAACCCCAAAACCCAAAAACCCCAAAACCCTCAGCCCGAAACTCCAAACCCTAAGCCCCACACCCTACGTTTGTAATTTGTCCTCTGTCTCGCCCTTCAGATCTTAGACTGCTCGGAATGGCGGTGAATCCCAAGGAGGAGACCAATAATAATAATAAGAAGAATATTAATAATAGTAATAATAAATAATAATAGTAGTAATAATAGTGATAATAATAACAATAATAATAGTAGTGATAATAATGATAATGATAATAGTAGTAACAATGATGACAATAGTAATAATAATATGTTGCAAGTGCCTCTTCGCAGACGAGGAGACCAAGAAGAAGGTTGAAATGTCGTCCGGACAGAAGCCCCGCCAGCCCTCCCTTCAGGTAGGTTCGGAGACAGTTTCGTTTCGCAGTCTTCGATTAAAGGAGACGTTGCAGAGATTAGGTTAGGGTTTAGGGTTTAGGGTTTAGGGTTTACGTTTTAGGTTTTAGGGTTTAGGGTTTAGGGTTTAGGGGGGATCAAGGGAATGTTCGGACCGGAGGAACCGGGATTCATGAGCAAAGCGAAGTCGCCTCTCTCGAACTTGAACGAGAACCAGACGTGTCTTATTTCGGTTTTCGATGTATCGGGATCGCCTTCCTCAAACAACATGCCGTTTGGACTGGGAGGAGATTTCGAGGTGTTTCGTGGAACGGGACTTCCAACTGGAGCATCCTTGTCGCTCGAGGTTCCGGTGGGCCTAATTGCCTATGTTAAGCACTTCGGCTGAACACGCCCTCGCGCTTCGAATGCTGATGAAGCTGCATCTGCTAGCAAAGTCGTCCATGCTGCAGACGCGTGCTTCATGCGTCCACAAGGCTGGAACCCTAAATCCTAAACCCTAAACCCTAAACCCTAAGTGTCTCTGCGAAAACTCTGAAGTGCTGCGCTTGCCGGCACAGTCTTGGTGGGGCCTGGTGGTCTTAGGGGTGTAGGCGCGTTTTAAGGTCTGAATACTCGCGCCGAACGCTTGACCTTGATGATTTATGTATTATGGAACAACTCTAGAGAGGCCATAAGTAAAATTGCAAGTACCCTTGGTAGGGCTATCTTCATTTTTTATGACCTTACCTGCTTTCCCGATTATGGGCTTACCTGTCGCCTCCTTACAGAGCCCCCTGATCCTTTAAGAAAATCCTGAGCCCGTTAGATCTTCTGAGGCAACGCCTTGTGGGGCCTTTTGCACCTCGCGTGGTTTGTGAAGCGTGCCTTCTGGTCGCTGGTCTCAAATCACGGATTTCTCTTGATAAAATTCGGGGTCATTTCGGCGTGCTTTAATAAGAGTGTTACTCTTCAGGGCCTATTTGGGCTTCTTGGGACATCTTGGGGCAGAGGAATGAATCCGTGGAGGTAGGACGTGGAGCAAGGGCTTCGGCCGGAAATGTTAAAGCCTAATACTCCTGATGACAGCTTAACCTTGAGGACGCTAGAAAGCCCTATCAGCCCCATCAAGCCCAGAACAAGCAAGAAGTGGCTATTACCAGACCAGAGCCTGACAAACGATCTTGTCATCCCCCTAGAGTTTGCCAAGCTAACGCGACGTTCATAGCCTGGACCGTAACCCTAAATCTTAAACTGTGAACCGCAAGTGGGTTGACGGCCGCAGAGACGTCTGTGGGCCATTTTCCCCCTCCTTAAACTGCAAGCCCTTCACCTAAACTGTTCAACGCCCTAAACCCTAAACCCCAAACCCTAAACCCTAAACCCTAAAACCCTAAAACCTTGAGCCCTAAAAACCACCTTAAATCCTTGCAAAGGAACACTACCCTAAACCCTGAACCCTAAAGCCTAAACCCTAAACCCTAAACCCTAAACCCTAAACCCTAAACCCTAAACCCTAAACCCTAAACCGTAAAGAGCTTCAGACTCAGGGCCCTGCGAACCCGCAGCCTGATGTTTGGGGCTTAGGGCTTAGGGCTTTGGGTTTAGGGTTTAGGGCTTAGGGTTTAGGGTTTAGGGTTTAGGGCTTTGGGTTTAGGGTTTAGGGCGGCTTCGGGTTTGGGGTTTAGGGTTTAGGGTTTATAAGGGCTTAGGGTTTCGGGTTTAGGGCTTTGGTTTAGGGTTTAGGGCCTAGGGTTTAGGGTTTAGGTTCTAGCTCAAGCTGAACACTGAACCTCAAGCAGGGGGTTTGGGCTTTTCGATTTTAGGGAGTATCTTCAGGTAACTCTAAACCGCTACAATCTTACCCCCAAAGCCGCAACTCCCTAAACCCTAAACCCTAAAACCCTAAACCCTAAAAGCCTTAAGCCCTAAACCCTAAAACCCTAAACCCTAAACCTCTTAAGCCCTAAACCCTAAACCCTAAAACTCTTAAGCCTAAAACTCTTAAGCCCTAAATCGTTGCCCGAAAAACTGCTCCAGGTTTCGTCGTCTCGACGCTGCACGCGAGAACTGGCTGAGTTCCGGCGGGGAGCGACGCGCCGCGTAGAGAAAAGCGGGAAGAAAAGACTGGGTTTAGGGTTTAGGATTTCGGGTTTAGGGTTTAGGGTTTACTTCGGAGACCCAAAAAGGCCAATAGTGTTAGGGGGCCGTAGCAGTTCGAGTCAGGTTTAGGGTTCGGTTTAGGGTTGGGAGGGCGTACTAGGTAGCATCGTTATTGTGGGATTGTGAGTGGGCAGGATTCAAAGTTTGTTCCTGTCTAGGTGTGGCACAGTGGACGGTCCCTGAATCGAACTATATTCCCTGTATCATTTCATCTATGTGTAGTTTAGGGGTCGGGGTTACGGTTAAGCATAACGTCACAGACGCACTGTCTCCGCAGTGAGTGCACATCCGAGACCGCACTCAACCCACGACCCACAGCAGTGCTTGCAACAATGGTATAGGGCCTGCACAAGTACAGCTATCTCGTTAAGGTTCATGACATAAGTATACCAGAGTATATCCCGGGACACCCCGGCCATCATTATTAAGGCCCCTTTCTTAGGCATCCTTCATCAGGAGGCTTTTGATGGATTGTTTGGTGGCATTGCACGGTTGCTGATGTAGGGGTGCATATAAGGGTTCTAGACTTCGCTTTTGTTTCAGGGAAGCCCTCTTTGCAGGGTACCATATGTGCGGGGTCTCCGAAACCGGAAGGCCCATCACGAATGCCCAGACAGCACCATGATGTTAAGGTCACTGCTGGAGTTGAATTTCAGGGTGTTAACATCGGTGTTTCGGGTTCTGGGGCGAGTAGGGTTTCTGTCTCTTATATAGGCCCATAGTGACGAGTTATCCCGTCCTCAACCCTTGACCCTGAGCTCTCACTGGTTCTACTAACCGGTACCAAACCCTAAGCGCTGAGGTTTGAGGGCAACATCTAGGGCCGTGTTGGGGGGTATATGTTGGGCTCTTGCAGGTTTTTTTTCACTCTCAGAAGCCCCATGCCCCAAGGCCACAAATGCCAAGCACTCCACACCCCTGGAAACAAGTTCCTAAACCCTAACTAAACCCTAAACCCTAAACCCTAAACCCTAAACCCTAAGCCCTAAACCCTAAACCCTAAACCCTAAACCCTAAACCCTAAACCCTAACCCTAAAAAGTAAGCCCCGAAAGCCCGACAACTTTAAGTGCCTCTCGCCGAAAGCCTTAACCCAAAGCCCGGTGTCCACTATGAGGACCGTACGATAATCTCCGTACAGTGTAGGACAGTAGGGCGATTCGTGCCCATCAGCAGTACTCCTAAGCCCCGAGCCTCTACGCCCCACACCTCAAACCCTACAACCCAAGACCCTGAAGCCTAACCCCTAAACCCGGGAACAGCCTGCCCAAGTGGGCTCCCCTGCAGACATGGTACTGCGGGAAAAAGGCCCTCAACAAAAAGAACCTGAACCCTAAACCTTAGACCCGACACACGAAGCTAAACCCTAAACCATAACCCTAAA